ATCTTTTTAGGCACTAGTTGATAAAGATCAGTACCGGTATAAACTGTTTCAAGCATCTAAATTGCAGCAGACGACATTTTTGACCTATTTAAACTGAAGTTTTAAGCCATATAATATATAGGCTATATTAGATGAGTTAACAAGGGTTTACTTGTTTCATTCACCTGAGCACTAATTAAAGTAAAGACTAATTACATTGTTGTAATTTCTCTTTGTACGCAGCGAAGTACATTTTATGATTCAATTTAATCTTATAGATGTAAAAGAAGTATGATCTCTTCTTGTGATTTGTGATCTTGGCCAGTGCTTCTATAGATGAGTATCTTCTATAACACCCAACACCAACTGTTCCCATTGTCACTTTACTAACTATCTCTCGGTCTCTTTCTTCGTTTCTGGATGTCTTTGGAGTCATTTTCTTTGAAATACAAAATAACACTGGACTTGGAATGTCGTTGAATGTGCTTGTGAGTTTGTAAAAATGAGTCACCCTGTCTCTTCCTTCGCGTCTTATATTCGAAACTGTAGTTTTCTAAATATAATAATCATGAGAAAGGGTACGATAATTTAATTAATCTTCTAAATTACGTTTTCGGTCACAGCTGTCAATAATAATCTATTTTCGGTTAAATGATTTCACGCTAGGCTACCTTAAAATTATATTTCGTTTCGGTAATAAATACAGTCCAGAATTTATATCGACCCTTTTGTTTACATGTAGAGGAAATGAGAGAAGAATAGAGACGTCCTTTCAATTTCTATCTTTATTATGTCGAGTAACCTTTTCACAACTGGACTTCGTCTGAATTTATAGACTGTTCCGTTCTGAAAACATCATACTTTTCTTGAAAATGGATCGAGAGTCTTTCAAAGTCGAAAACCATCCCAAAATTCAGTTTGTTCGTCTGCTGCAACAGTGTGATAATTTGGGGTTAACTCCCTTTGACTGGTGTAAATTACAATCTCTGCAGGAATCAGAAAAAATGCAGCAGTCAAAAAG